GATGACTATTCCAGAAAGCTATGGGTATTCATTTAGAAGATGAAGGATGAAACTTTTGAGAATTTCAAAAGTTGGAAGATTCTGGTCAAAACTCAAACTGGCAGAAAGGTTGAGAGGTTGAGAATGAACAATAGCCTTAAATTCTGCAACAAAGCGTTCGACAGTTACTGTCTTGAGTCTGGGATTGTAAGGCATAAGACTGTAGCAGGTACTCCTCAACAAAATGGCTTAGGTGAGAGATTCAATTGAACAATCCTTGAAAGGGTTAGATGCATGTTGGTTAGTGGTGGATTGGAGAAGGTGTTTTGGACAGAAGCTGTTTCGACAGCATCTTACCTGATAAATAGATATCCCTCGACTACCTTGGCAATGAAGACACCTAAAGGAGTTTGGTCGATACATCGACCTAGTCTCGATAGTCTGAGAGTATTTGGCTTTGTGGCCTATACTCATATTAGGCAAGGCAAGGTCGAACATAGAGCTCTGAAATGCATGTTCATGGGATACCCTGAAGTAGTTAAAGCTTATAGGCTATGGTGCCTAGAGCCAGGTCACAGGAGCTGCTCCACTAGTCAAGATATAGTTTTCAACGAAGTAGATATGACTTTCAAGAAAACTGATGATGCTGACGAAGAGCTAGAACAAAGCGAGATTCCTGTTGAGGCGGAGCACGTTGATGCTGAATTGCGTACCCCAAATAAAGTCAAAGAAGAAGCATAAGATGTTGTCGAAGATGAGGAGACTGATAATGACTACCTGCTAGCAATAGACAGGTCGAGGAGAGTCATCAAGCCACCTTAGAGACTTGGGTATGCAGATCTTATAGCTTATGCCTTAATCTCTGCAAGTGAGGTTCTAGACGAAGAACCTAAAGACTATAAGGAAGTTATGAGGAGTCGAAAAAAAACTGAATGGCTGAAGGCCATGGATGATGAGATGAAATCTCTTCATGATAACAACATTTGGGAACTGATCAAGAAACCTGCTGGAGCCAGGTTATTCAGCTGTAAATGGATTTTCAAAGTTAAGGAAGGAATCGAAGAAGTGACGTCGAAGAGATACAAGGCAAGATTGGTTGTTAGGGGGTTCACTCAGAAAGAAGGTATTGACTTTAATGATGTGTTCTCTCTTACTGTAAAGCACAAATCCATTCGAATGTTGCTTGCCACAGTGCCACAGTTTGACCTTGAACTGAAACATATGGATGTGAAGATTGCGTTCTTGTATGGTGACTTAGATGAAACAATCCTGATGAGGCAACCTGAAGGGTATGTCGAAAAAGGGAAGGAATATTATATGTGCAAGCTGAATAGATCCTTATATGGTTTGAAATAATCTCCTCGACAGTGGAATAGGAGATTCGACAAATTCATGGCACGCATAAGTTTCATCAGAAGTCAGTTTGACCATTGTGTTTACTTCAGATTTTGACCGGGTAATTCATTTGTTATTTTGTTGCTCTATATGGATGATATTCTAATAGCAAGCAACAATGTCGAAGATGTAACGAGGGTGAAGGCTGAACTCAATAAAGAGTTCAACATGAAGGATCTGGGAGTTGCGTCCAGGATTCTTGAGATTGACATGCGGAGAGATAGAAAACAGTCGAAATTATGCTTATCTCAAGAGGCATACCTACAGAAGGTTCTCGAAAAGTTTGGTATGTCGAATTCAAAGCCTGTTGTGACTCTGACAAACCCTCAATTTAAGCTGATTATAGATCAGTGTCCCAACACTGATGTTGAAAGAACTTATATGAATAGCATTCCATATGCTAACATAGTAGGTTCTTTGATGTATGTTATTGTTTGTACTAGACTCGACATAACATATGCAGTAAGTCTTGTAAGCAGATACATGGCGAATCCTAGAAAGGCTCACTGGCAAGCATTGAAGTGGATTTTAAGGTACATAAATGGGTCTCTGAATAAAATCCTAATTTTTGGTGGAACCTTGGGTGAAGATAGTAAAGCAACAATCGAAGGATATGTCGAATTTGATTATGCAGGTTGTATGAATTCCAGAAAATATATCTCTGGATATGTGTTCACTATGTTTGGGACAACAATCAGTTGAAAAGCAACACTTCAGAAGGTCGTTGCCTTATCAACTACTGAAGCGGAGTATATTGCCCTAACTGAAGCTGTGAAGGAAGCATTGTGGCTTGAAGGTTTTGCAAAGGAGCTAAAACTTCAAGGTGGATTTATCACTGTTAAATATGATAGTCAAATGGAAATACACATGTCGAAGAAATTAACCTATCATGAGCGAACCAAGCACATTGATGTGAGGCTGCATTTCGTCAGAGGGGTAATCGAGCATGGAGAAGTCCAAGTGGTGAAGGTTTTGACAGATCATAATGCGGCTGATATGATCACCAAGACGTTGCCCTGTTGCAAGTTTTTCCACTATATACAGTTAATAAAGCTGCATGAAAAATCTAGTTTCTTGATGTTATAGAGTTAGATCTAAGATGGAGATTTGTGAGATGTTTGGTCAAACTCTAGTGTGGTCGAAGTCTGTTCGCGAGTAATGCATGTTGTAGTCGAAGTCTGTTCTAACATGCATTAGTCAATATTACTAGGGTTGTTAGCATGTTGAATTGGGTCTTTCTTGTAAGCTCAATTGTTTAAGTTAGCTTGTACCCTAAGTTAGCTTATAATGGGTAATTGTTAAAAAGCTCATTAGGTTAGTGTGCTATTTTTCTTATAAATAGGATGCTAGTTTCTCAATCTTGATATAAGGAAAAATAGGAAGATAAAATCCTAATTTCAAGAGAGAAAGGTTATTTTATTATTCTTGTATACTTGTAATCTTGTTCTAAGAGAACGGAAAGAATAACAGTTTAATAACCAATCCTTGTTGTTTTCTTTTTTATTAACCCTAACCATTGTGTGTTTCTTGATCATTAAGAAACTGTTTATACTCTATTAAGGTATCTGATGGATAAACGAATTAAACCTTACCCATCATAGAAATAAGGTGGCCTTTCTAAATAGCTAGCTTGACCAATACTCTATCTGTCATGATCTAGAGATGATGAGTTATAGGTTTGTCTTTGAATATAGGAACTCCAAGATAGTTTAAAAAGTGTGGCTAGGAATGGTTGTCTTACCAACTATATGCATGTCAACTTAGCTTGATCCACTAACATAAATAATGAAAAAAATCAGTAACTTTCCCATTTGTTATGATTAATAGTTTGGCTAAGTATAAAATGGTAAGAATCCAATAATAAAAATTTTGATTAAAACCCAAATTAAATAAAAACTTTAATAAGATATTTCTAATATAAAGTTTCAAAGGATTTTATGATGTTTATATTCAAAGTCATACTTCCTCAAAAATATTTTTTGTGCAACTTATTAGTGACTTCTGAAGTCATCTCAATCCATTCATAAATATGTCTACACTTAATAAAGCCTTTTTTGCTATTCTGAAACAATCTTAGGAACGAAGATGACCAACTTATCTGTAAGAAGGATCTCGCCTTATTCAAAGAACTGATTCACTAAATTGGAAAGCCATATATTTTATTGAGATGTTCATTATCTGGAATATAAATTGTGGGATTGTTCGGTCCAACATTTTAATATAATTACAATTGTTTTCGGAGTTAAATAAATTTTTGTAGAAATTAATAACATAATTATCTAATTTATTACCTTCCAAAGTATTGTCATGTCTAAATCTAATAATTTTATTACTAACCTATCTCAATTAAACCGTATTCTAAGAATATATATATATATATATATATATATATATATATATATATATATATATATATATATATATATATATATATATATATATATATATATATATATATATATATATATATATATATATATATATATATATATATATATATATATATATATATATATATATATATATATATATATATATATATATATATATATATATATATATATATATATATATATATATATATATATATGGGATTATAACACAATTATCATTAATTATTTATTTTGTTCTTTATTATAATATATTTATGGTGTAATTTCGCTTTAAAATTTTTGAAATAAATAAATTTTATTTTCCTGTAATACTTGTATGTTATTTTTTCTTTCTATATATATATATATATATATATATATATATATATATATATATATATATATATATATATATATATATATATATATATATATATATATATATATATAATTTCTTAATTACATCATAATTCTTTGACCGGTATGATCGTTGATTTAATATAATTTAGATTATAGTGAAATCTAATAAAATTGAATAGTTTTTTATTTGTTTTTATACTTTTTAAATAAATTTATTGGTATTAATTTACTCCATTTTGAATTAGTTGAATTATAATCTAAAATTGTTTATCGATGAACTCATCAATCTAAAACTTTAAAACATTACTACTATCATGTTGAACATAGAGATATTGGATTACTTTTTTGACAAAATGAATTCGAACTAATAAAAAAAATAGTTTTGTTTGGTTTTTATTTTTTTCACAAACAATATTCAAGAATATAATGAAATAAGTTTTAGAAAAACTTATTGTTGAAAATTAAAGTTATCACTTGAAAATAATAAATAAATATATAGAAAAACCAGAAGTGGTGTTTTTTTCTTTTAGTACAAAAAGAATAGAGTAAAATGAATAATGTGTGAGTAACAATATAGAAGACGTTTAATTGATAACTCCAACCAAAGTAGCTTCAAATATTAATTCAAAAATGAATTATGTATGTATCATTGTATATATTGCATGAGTTAATTTCAAGCTAAAATTATGACTCATTCATGCAACCAAACATCATCATGTGAATTTCATTTTCATCTAACTTAGTATATAATTTACGATATTGACAACATTTCTATTTTCTTTCCTTACGTCTATTCAATTTTTCTAATAAGTCACAAACTTAAGCAGCTATATATATATCACACCTCTAATAAACTTTTAATTCCACAAACTAAGTTAACAAAAAAACAAAAACATGTCATCATCATCATCCTCAAAAGTAATATTAAAAAGTTGTTACTCCATAAGACCTAAGGAACCAACATGGCGTGGTTGTATACCATTATCCAAATGGGATCAAATTGGAATCATAACACATGTGCCAACAATTTACTTTTACCACCCTCCACAAAACTGGCTTACCTCCCCCTCTAAAATCTCCACCACTTTGAAAGACTCATTAAGCAAAGTTCTTGTGCCATTTTATCCATTAGCAGGTCGTTTACAATGGAAAGAAAATGGTCATTTTGACCTCGAATGCAACTCATTGGGTGTTCAATTCATTGAAGCGCAATCTTCGTTAGCATTATCTGAACTCAATGATTTTTCACCTTCTTCTGAATATTATCGTTATCTCATCCCGCATGTTGATTACACGGTTCCAATTCAAGACATTCCTTTGATTTTTGTTCAGCTCACGAATTTCAAATGTGGCGGTGTTAGCATTGGTTTGTTAGTTTCACATGCAGTCGCTGATGGACAAAGTGCATTGCATTTTACTTCTGAGTGGGCACGACTTGCACGTGGCGAAACTATAAAAACAACACCATTTTTTGATAGGAGTGTTGTGTTGTTAAAATCGCATTGTTGTAATGGTGTTAATGAATGGGAGTTTAATCAACCTCCATTATTGTTGGAAGAATCAGATATCATTGAAGAAAAGAAGCAAAAATCGACAGTGGCTATAATAAAAGTGAGTAAAGCACAACTTGAAAAGTTGAGAAATACAGCAAATGAGAAATCTAGTAATGGTCGAGGTTTTACAAGGTATGAAATAATGACCGGTCATGTTTGGAGAAGTGCATGTAAAGCTAGAGGACATAGAAATGACCAACCAACTGTGCTTGGTGTTTGCGTTGATTGGAGGAATCGTGTGGAGCCTAGTTTACCAAAAGGTTATTTTGGGAATGCAACATTGGATGTTATGGCAACTAGTCTTGCAGGTGATTTAGTGTCTAAGCCTTTGGGATATGCTTCGAGTAGAATAAGGGAAGCGATTGAGAAAGTGAATGATGAATATGTGAGACAAGTGTTTGATTATTTTAAGAAACAAGAGGATTTAACTAAATTTCAAGATCTTCATGCAATGATAGGAAATGATAATGATGATGATGATAAAGGGTCTTTTTATGGGAATCCTAATTTATGTGTTGTTAGTTGGTTAACATTGCCTATTTATGGACTTGATTTTGGATGGGGAAAAGAGGTTCATATGGGACCAGGAACACATGAAATTGATGGAGATTCTTTGCTTCTTCCTAGTCACGAGGATGATGGATCTTTGTCGGTTGCTATTTGTTTGCAAGAGGTTTATATGGATGCCTTCAAGAGGCATTTTTATGAAGACATTGTGTGACTCATGGATGGATTAAAAGGAAGTGACACATAATTGCAACACTAAAAATAATTTGGACATCTTCTGAAACTTATAAATAATTCAAAATAATAATAATAAGTATAAGAATACGAATTTAATTACATATATAAATAAATGTATGTATAAGAAAATCAATATTAATTTCTTAAATATTTAGGTACGTGTTGTCTTGTAATCTTTTTTGTTGTCATTGTTATAAAATATATATATATATATATAAAGCATGAATTCAATTCATTCTCCATTAGAGATTGTCTTTACTTTGATATGTTCAAAAATGAGTTTCTCTTTGTTTTCAATAAAATCATATATATCATACAATATATAAAATAATCAATAAATTGAATTTAAGTGATAAAATATGAATCATTAGAGAGAAATTGAGTTCAAATACGGACAAAAGTAATTATTCGTCATACTCACTTTACTTAAATCCCAACAAAAAAATATATATTATTAGCTAGAGACCCTTTTTCTTATTTATTAGAGTTAAAAAAATCAATAAGTAAAATAATTTTTTTTCTAAAAAATATAACATGACTATATAAAAATTTGTATTAGGAGAATAAATCGTTGATTTGCATAAGTTTAAATGATGTCATATGAAAATATAGTAAAAGAATGACATGACAATATAGACTTTTGAGTTGACTAAAAGAATCATCATTTTTAATAGTAGACTAGTTAATAAAAATACTAATTTAGAATCTCCTTTCACCCACATCATTAGCTTTGATTTATACTCAAATCTCACTTCCACTTTTTCATTAAACCTTACCAGAGTTTTGATGTCACTTGTTGGAGGAAAGAGATTATGATATGAAGGTTGATATCAGTAGTATCGCAGGATATGATAGATAGTTGGAAACACCAAAAGACTGAGCAACCAAATAATAAGCGTGAAAATTGTGCAAAGACTTTAGAAGAAATACCCAAAAGCTATTAAGATACAAAACTCTAAGGTTTAAAGTGAAGGATAAATAAAAGGAGAATGAGAAACAAATTTTTTTTATATAAAAACCCATTGGACCAGGAAATCCAAAAGATCAAGCAAAATCCCATAACCTAAGGATAAGAAGAAACTCATGAGAGAGAATATGATTGTTCAACAAAATTGTGAACTGGACCAAATCGTCGAACTGAAATGAAGTTAAAATAACTAAAGTATTATGCTTGGTTAGAGAACCAAACCATATTGCAGAAAACAATTCGAAAATCGTACCAAAACCGAATCGAAATTGTAAATGTAAATACTAAAAATAAGTTTTAAATATTTTTTAAAATTTGAAAAATAGTTTAATGGTTCGATTTTTTAATAAATGGTCTGGTTTGGGGAAATTGTCTTATAATAGTTCGGTACGGTTCAAAATTTCTAAACGGTAATATCAAATCAATGTTTTAGTTTGGTTTGGTTCTAAATAAATTGAAACAGTTCGGTTCAACTCGAGTGAAGAAAAGCCCTAGCAGAGAGCCACATGGTGTCACAAAAGAACATTCCCCATATTGTAAATCATACACATCGATTCCCCATACCTTAATCATCACACCTTGAGTTTGAAGAAAACATTAAATGTGTTGCTAGACCTGGGATTCCTATCTTTAAATATACTAACTACGTGAGGAGAAAGGAGAAAATTGTTGTACCTCAAAAAATACGATCATCACGGTGCGCAAAACCGGACTGCACGATCACGGATGGACTTAAGAGAGTTTCCATGAAATTTATTTTTTTAATGAGGGGACGGGAAAACATTGAAAAAACCCAAAAATGAAAGGATAGGGTATGGTAATCACAACCATGTCGAGTTTGAAAGTCAGTTATGTAAGGGGAAGGTACTATCACCCCTACATCTATCGTACTTGATGGGAACCATCTAAGTTGGCTAGGCATGAAAGAGTATTTTATTACGATGCTCTCCAATGATGGATATTCTCATGCCTACGTATCCTCATTATTAAACGAGGAACTCAAAGCTCCGCAGTTTGGAGTAAAAAATGTTTGTGTGTTGGTTGATTTTATTACCTTCAAAAAAGGTTTAGGAAGTGGTGCCACGGGGCACAAAAAGAAGTTTGATGGGTTAAGTATTTTTTAGATTTTGAAAAGGATTATTCTTGAGTTGAATTGCACTAAAGACTATGGGTATAGGTGATTATTTCAAGCAACCAAGTCGAACACCTTGTGTGAAATAACCAGAGGGAGTGCAGGGAAGCTTCATTCTCACCCCTTCTCTACCACTTAAGGCTTGCGGCGCATAATTCTTCTTGTATTTTATTGTGTTTTAAATTTGATTGAAAAAATGGCCATTTGGTGTTGAATCAGGGTTTATTGGTTGTTTTAAGAAAAGTTTTGGTGAATGGGTAGTGATAAGTACAAGCTTTTGAGATTGACATTAATTTTGGTAAAACTAACCTGGCAGAAAGATGTTGGACAAGATGTCCTAACATGAAGAACAAATTGTAGAAAAAGATGTTGGACAATATGTCTTATCATAGTGACTCAACATATTTGTTTGTTACTTTGCAGTTTTGATACTACTATTTCATTTCCCATATTTTAGAATATTGTGGGAATATTTGTTTATCCTAGGCGGCGTTCAAGATTGAGGAATCAAAGATTCTATTTGAGTTTGAAGATGTCGTTTTCTAAGTGTTTGAGAAATTTTAGGAAACTTTGGATTGAAGAAACTATTCTTGAGGAGAATAAGTTGTAGATTTTATGTAACAAAATTGCTGCGTTATTGAATCTCAAATCCAGTCTAGTTTATGGTTATAAATAGGATGAATTTAACCTAATCAGAGTATGGAAATACATTGTTGCTTAATGAGTTTTAGGGTTTGTGTATTTCTGAGCATCTCTTGTATCATGTTGATACTAAAGCTGGATTGTTTGCATTGAGTTGTAATTTCTGTCACTGTTGTGATTGAAGGGGAATTAAAAAGGGTTTCATACCTAGGAGAGTCTTAGGTAGAAATTAAGCACGGGTAATGATTAAGTGATAAGTTGTAAACCATAGGTTGTTTAGCTTGGAATTAATAATATCTAGTGGATTTCATTCCTGGCTTGGTAGCCCTCAGACGTAGGTGCTGTTGTACACCAAACTGGGTTAATATTTACTGTGTGCTCGTTTACTTTCTGCAACTTTTATTGTGCTTCTTCTTCTCATTGTGTTTTAGCATAAATCAAGTGTCTCAAAATCTCTTAGGACATCTGAGATCTGCATACTATAATTTCTATTAGTATCAGAGCAGGCATCTTGCTCTGCATCTGGGTGAGATTTAGGGAAATTACTTTCTGGTGCAATGGACAAGGAAGGAGGAATATTGAACAGACCACACATCCTTGATAGGTCCAATTATAAATATTAGAAAATGTGCATGGTGGGCTTTATTAAGTCCATGGATGGTAAATATTGGAAATTTGTGGTCAAAGGATGGGATCCACCAAAGGATAAAGATAAGGAAGGTAAGGTTACTGATATGATAAAGCCTAAGGAATATTGGGATGATGAAGATGACAAGCTAACTCAGGGTGATTCTAAAGCATTGAATGCCTTATTCAGTGGAGTGGACAATAACATCTTCAGATTGATAAAGAATTCTATTGTTGCCAAAAATGTTTTGGAGATTTTGAAGACTGGTCATGAAGGAAACTCTAGGGTGAAATCTTTAAGACTTCAACTTCTTACAACAAAGTTTGATAATTTGAAGATGAAGGAGGATGTAAGTATTCAAGACTTTCACATGAACATTGTTGATATAGCCAATACTTCAAGTGATCTAGGAGAAAAGATTCCAGAAGCTAAGTTGGTCCAAAAGATCCTAAGATTTCTTCCAAAGAAATTTGACATGAACGTGACCGCCATTAAAGAAGCCCAAGACATAAACACCATGAAGGTGGATGAACTCATGGGATCTCTTCAGACTTTTGAATTAGCAATCAGTGAGAAATCTGATAAGAAGAAAAGCACAGCCTTGGTGTCTAATCAAGGTGAATGTGATCCGAGTTCCAATGAAGAATTGTCTAAGACTGTTGTGTTTCTTGAAAAATAGTATAACCAATTATTGAAAAGGATGGACGAGAAGTCAAGATCAAATGTTAAGACTCAGTCATTCAACATCAACAAAATGAAGGATTTTAGAAGAAGAATCAACAATGATAAGAAATCTAACAAAGGCAAGGGAATGCAATTCTATGAAGGCGAAGGGTTTAGACACATAAAAGTTGAGTGTCCTACCTTTCTAAAAAGGATAAGAATGGCTTGTCTACATCTTGGTCTGAAGATGATTCTTCAAGTGAAGGAGAATGTGCTAAACATGTTTCTGCTCTTACTGAAGTACGTGATTCTGATAAAAAATTAGATGGTGAAGAACTCACCTTTGATAAATTGGTTGCCTCGTACAAGGAGTTGTGCATCAGAAGTGTAGAAGTATGTCAACTAAGAAAGGATCAACAAAATCTTATTGTTCAACTTCTTGACGAAAGATTGAAGCACTTGGTTGTCATCTCTAACTTGAAGGATGAAGTTGTATTTCTCAACTCTAAACTTGAAAATAGACTAAACCTATAAGAATGCTCAATAGCAGTTCTGATGTGCTGGATGAAATTCTTCAATTAGGAAGGAATGCTGGAAATGTTAAAGGGCTTGGTTATAATGATCAAGTTGAGAATAATGGAAAGGGCCTGCCATGAGTTATGCTCAACCCAAAAGAAAGAAGAATCAAAAGATGTTAAGTAAGATGTCCCAACATCAACAAAGACATTAGAGTAATTCCTCAGGAAGAAAGAACCAAGACTGGAAATGTCATCATTATGGTAAGTTTGGTCACATAAAACCTTACTGCTACAAGCTACACGGTTATCCCAAATCTGCGACTCAATCCAGAAGGAAGGAGGCTGCTGTTAAAACAAAGAAGAAGTGGATTCCCAAGAATGGAATTGCTGGTCTCATAGTACACACCTCTCTAAGAGCTTCTGCTAG